TTTTTTTTCTTATATCCTTCTCCTTTATTTTTGGTTACTCATCAAATGGCACTAAGTCTGTGCCTGTAAGTTTCGAGCGGAGACGAAACTTCGAAGTAATAAAATAAATACGCGCAGCTAAGTAAATGCCATAAAGGCTGCACGTACTTTGGCTTGGTTGGTGGTGATTTCTATATGTACATTCTTACCACCAACGATAATGAGAAAGCTATGATTCGAGATTTCGGATATACAGGCGCTGATGCGCCATAGCCTGTTGAAGCGAGTTTGCACCTGAACTATGTTCTCGGTTTCCATATCTCTGAGCTTTGAGTAGGCGCTTGGCGCCAGTGTGAATTGCCATCTGTTTGCATGTGTGCGAAGTGAAGAAGAAAGCGAGTCTGATTGCAGATGAAGGTGTGGTGTTAAATCTCTTGTCATCTGCAAATCTTTATGTGCTATGTTTTTTTTTCTTTCTTTTTTCCCCTAAATGTGCTCCCTAATTTTACTGGGTCCTTAGTCTGTGAGTGAAGCTTAAATTTAGATACCTTTATCTGTTTTCAGCCACAAGGCAGGTACGATGCTGGTATGTTTTCCTCTGGCCTTTCACATATCTCCTAGAGTTTCCTTGGCTGGGTTTGATCGTGTGATCTGATTGTTGCAGGCTATCTGGACCCTGAGTACTATCAGAGTCATCGGCTGACGGATAAAAGCGATATCCATAGTTTTGGAGTTGTCCTTCTGGAACTAATAAGTGGACGGAAGCCGGTGGAGTTCACAGGAAAATCTCACTTCAATCTTGTCAAATGGGTAGGTCCCTCAATGTCAGGTCCTTCGAAGAGGACTGGGTCTGGTGACTATGCAAAGCTGCTTTTTGGCTGGTATCTTGTGGTATGATGAATTTATTGGCTAAGCCTCTTACAATGAATGGGACATACAACTTTCTCGTATGCCTCTTGTGGGCTGGACTAGCTCTTTGCTCTTTTGTGATTTGCACATGGAATTATTTAGCATCTTCACTATCAGGAGAGGACTTCGTATCTATGGCATCATCTATCTCAAGTCCGCCACTCAACCAGCCCCTTTCTCCTCTCCTTCTCTGGTTGGGCTTAGATGATTGCGCTCTTCCTTGCCTCGTCAATCTCCTCCATTGCCTCGTCTGCAAACAGATTCTCCTAGTCCCACTGTTCCACGGTTCCACCCCCAATGCTACAGCCATGCTCTTATTGTCCCACTGTTTCCCATTGTCCCACTGTTTCTCATGCCAGAATTGCTCTCATTGTGTCTCCTCAACCGCAGTTACTGCATTGTCGCTCATCTAAGGATCAGCAGCCTGTTTCTTGATCAGCCTCGGTTCTCTGTGTGCGTCCTCCTCACACTGTTGGTGTTCCTTTGCTGCACACGGCTCCTGTGTCTCCTGCAGGCAGTCCAGCTTCCAATCGTCAATCAGGAGACTGTGATTCATCCTCTATAACATTGAAGGTTCATGACTCACCTGCTGCGCAGGGTGCAGTCCACATTCAGGATGCGGCCCCAGATGTACTGGGATTGGAACATCACTTGGCCATCTTGCAGATTGCCCTGCAAGGCGCAGACCACATGGGTAATCTGCAGAAGACCGCACATGGACATGTCTGGTGCTAGAACCTGTTCACGACCACGAGGAAAATCTCTGTGACTGCTATTGAGAAGCTCCCAAATCCCATCCTTCCGAAGTCAAAAAACAGTATTGCCTCATTCAGTCTCTTAATATAGCGTACCCCTCTGTCTGACTACTTCCTATGTTTTAAGACCCTACTCAATCCTCGTTTACAATTTGAGTGACTTATGAACCTTACCTAAGCTTGACTTGCTTTTTCTTTTTCTTTTTTTCTTTTTTTTTGAACTGAACCCCTTGAAAGACTAAGTTCAGAGTGCCATTTCTTCATCTCCCTCTATTCCCTTAAAACCTAAACCCTAGTGACCCCCTAGAAAATTGAGTTTAGGGTGCTACACCTTCCCTCCTATCTGAACTTAAGTTTACCCTTATGAGCCTAACACTCTATTCTTGTCCCCGCTGGTTTTTATTCTCGAACCAATGGAAGACCAATCTGTATCCTTCAATGGTTGCTATATTTCCCTTACTCAATGTCACCTGGCTAAAAGTCTTAAGTATCTCCCGTGCTTTCACCGGATTTAGCTGAGCTTGTCGCCTTGTTCTTTGCCATTGGGCCGTGATATCCATCTCCAGAAGGTTATGAAAAACTTGCTTAGCCTCTTGTCTATGCATTTGTCCCTTTCCTATCGTGAGATGACATCTCCTCTTCCAAATGGTCCACAATGCATATTGTCTCAGTAATTGGAATCCCCTTCTCTGTCCTGGTTGCCATGTCTTGGGAAGATCCATACCGGTGAGGAGGATCCTCCTATCCTCCGGAAAGGAAACATCTGAGATCTTTCCCCACAGTTCCCTGGCTGCTTCCCACACACATGAGGCTTCCGGACATTGTAACAGACAATGAATCAAGGATTCCATCCCCTCGGCCGTGCAGAGGTGGCACTTCTAGTTGACCTGATCCATCTGGTGTTGACTGCGGCGCTCATACAGCCATGCATTGACCGGGAGCACCACATGGAAAATCACCCATTGCAAGCTTTTGACCCGACCCAGCCTTATGCTATTCAGCTCTGGCCACGGTAGCCTAGCATCCTGCATCCTCGGGACTTTCAACCTCCTTTCCCAACGAGCAGCCAGTGACTCCGCCTGTTGCATACTCGTGAATACATCAACAAGTATGGGCAGAACCAAAGATCAACCAATATAGGATGAGCATGCATGCAGCGGAAGTCTGATAAATGGACTGACTCACATAGACTGAACTCATACAGATATCACTCAACACGCAAGCAATCGTGAGATGGTGGGGTCTG